CTTCGGGAGCGGACACTCCTGGACTCAAGAAAAGAACTGCTGCTTCCCACTAAAGCCTCCAAAAAGTCTGAAGATCCCGTTTTCTCCTCTAAGGTCAGAAATCAGTCCTTTGAGAAGGGAGGATGTGAGAGCAAACTGCAGAGAGCCTGGGGAGAGCTTTCAGTGGACTGTACGCTCTCCCTCTCTTCGAGGGGAAGGTACAATCTGTCTCCAAATTACCTTCTAAAGTTTGCAGTCTGGCTGTTTGCTCTTAGCCTTCAGTGCCTAGCAATTACAACTGCAAAAGTAGTAATTCATTTAAATGTCAAAATAACATATGGTTTGAGAATTCGATGACTGAAAAATAAATGGATACAGATGAACATTACCCACTGACGTTTGATAAAATTAATATAATCGGTGGGGTTTGGGGAAACAAATGGCATTAATTTTGTATTTCTTTATATAATATTTAAGCAGAAGTAATAAATGCCATCCAAGGTACCACTGTACTATTTCATATACTCCAGGTGTTTCTGTAACAATGCTGTCAGTTCAACTAATTAGAACATAGACAAGGGAAGTGTGCGACCTGTAACGCTCCATTGTTCCTGAAGACAAAACCATAATGAAATATAATGTCTTCCTCCCATTGGAGAGTAATGAAGAACAAAACTAATTTGTCGGACCAAAAATTAATTAGACACATCAGATTCGATTGTACCTATTACTGTGAAAGTTTGCAGCTGTTCCTCATATTATTATGCCAATGATGGAATGTAAGAGTGAACAGGCCAACTGATGAAGAGAAATAATAGCTATACCATTAACCAACATTGCCGTTATCGCCAATTTTATTTCTGGTTTTCCAAGTGAAATTTTTTAGCATATCAATAGTGATCATAAAAATTTTATTCTTGATTCTCTTTGAGTCTTCCATATAATTTGTCAACGTCCTGCTTGAAGTATGGGCACAGGATTCCTGTAACAGTGACACAATTTCTAACTAAAGAAATAATATACTTCCTACTGCTCCATATTCTCCTGGTTTTACTTTCTGGACTGTCATGGGTCTCTTCTCTAGAATTGGTCTGGGAAGTCAGTAGTTGATTATTCACCATGAAAAACAGTTATTTTCAGAAACAAAAATTCTTCTAAGAACAACTTATCCTATATTTAAGAATAACATCTTCTTTCTTTTTATACACTGGACTCCGTATTTCATGACAATGAAAGTCGTACTGTCTAGCAACATGGCTTAACTCTTCTGCATCACTGACCTACTCTCCACATAATTCAGCATTTCTGCAGTTGTTTGTTCTGTTTGCAAGCTGTTAAATAGTATAGCTAAGCACCAGGCCATATAGGACTCCATTATAATGCAGTCACTCAATAATGTTTTCCCATTCGTGATGATATTTTGAGGTTTATTCATTAGCTCATTTTTAATCCGTGTAATTTCTTTTTTTTTTTTTAGTTTACCTGAGAAATCCATTTTTTTATTTTATGTTCTTGATTCTCAGTCAAACATTGAGTGGTACCAACTCAAATTTTCCAGAAATGGTATCAGTTAAACGCTGTTACCTTTATCAAACATATTTACGGTCTGAGAAATAACTGCCAGCAATTCATAAGCAATAGAAAAATGGGACCTAAAGAAAAGGGAGATACAGACCATACAAGTAATAACTACATCCAGCTTTGGGCTCCCAAAAGGGAAAACAGAAATGAGAACAGAAACACAACCCAAACAGAAAAGACTCTCCTTTACTTTTCATGCAAAGGACTCTTAAATGTGCAAAGATGCCACCAGACAGACTTGTTGAAGCAGACATTCTGGGAACATTTAAGGAACAAATAAGTATCAGTGTAAGTTTAACAATGCAAAATTAACTCGCTAAATGCCAAATAACTTTTTTCTTTCTTTTGTACTTTATTTGCATCCTAACATCCCTTTCCTCCTTCCTGCAATGATACAGATCTCTCCACATTTAACTCTTGATTATACTAGTCATTTTTTGTAAGGAAAAAGTCAGGATGAAGGGCTGTACCCAGATGCAGGGCTGAGCATTCTGGGAATCATCCAGCAAAGTACTTTGGTGCAAGTTTAACTCACAACACGTTAAGTGACACAAGGCTATTCACGTGCTTAAAATGCAACATACTTAAGTGTTTTGCTGAACAAGCCCAGTGTGTTTAGTGCCTAGCTAGATGGACTCGCTAGTGAAATAAGAAAAAGAAGTCCTGCTCACAGCGAATGCAATGACAGACTAGTGTCACAACATCAGTTATTTACACAGAGGTCCAAAATTCAGGCCTGTTAGATGACAGGTTTCTTGCCTTTTCAAAAGTCAATTTATTGCTTTCAGTTCTAGAAAACTCCCCCCCCCACACCTCTTCTTTGGCATTTCTGCGGCTGTCTTTTTCTAAAACCAGTGCTACCTTCACCTCCACTCTTATATTTACTTCTCCAGTGACAATATATTCAAAGCTGACATACCACAATTTCTGTTTTGATGCATTGGGAACCTGAATTTCATTAAACATTTAAGCAATGCTTAGGGGACAGCCTTTTCTAAAGGGCTACACGTAACAGAATAGTCCATGTTTAGGACACTGTGTTGATAACATTTTCTAGAAAGAAAATATTTAATAACAACAAAAGACCCACAAACAAGCAAAAGCCCATTTAAGTAGATCATACAAGTAAAAGCAACAAAATTCCTGTATTGCGCACTCAAAAGAGCTGCTGCTCTGCACAGCTCAATTCAGTTTTGCTAAATATGGTTACTTCTCCTATTCTTACCCTTCCCATATTGTTCCTGCCTTTATATTTTATAGTTGAGAAGAATTTCAGAAGAAACAGAATCTGTGTTTCCCTCAGGTCAGGAAATTAATTCAGCATGGAAACCACTACTAAGAAACAGTCATTTCAAAGGCAGGGATGATAATACTACCTTTGCTCTCTATTTGGACTAGAGGCCACTTATTCTTTGACAGAGGAAGCTCGTCTGCTTGGGATACCTGAGAAACACTGACTTCAAATGTTCAGAAAACCAACTGTAAATAGTGCCTTAGGCACCAACGGTACGAGTAAGGCAATATTACAGTCATCTGAACAGGAGGAAAAGGGAGCTTGAGCTGTTAGTTCCATAAATCCGTCAACACGCAGAAGCGGTAAATTCATAAAAAAAAAAAAATAAAAAAAATCAGTTTCACTAGATAATCTGCATTTTCTCATATGTCTTGGGAACATATTTCCCTCCATTGGCTGCGAGAACTCTGCACAAAGAGAAGACACGTCAGCAGGCAGTGGGATGTTAAAAGCTAACTAACTAGCTCTATTCAAATCTCGTCTTCTGCTCCATGGATTTTAATGCTTCCAGAAGTGATTTATGAAAGCGTTTCTGAAAGTCGAAACAGGCAAAACAAAACAACAAAACAGACAATCACTTACCGATTATTATGGGTTGTGGCTCACTTTTTACTCCCACGCCTGCACTGGTGCTTGCAGCAACTTCCACACGGTACTGAATACCTGGATATAGGCCACCTATTACTACAGACCGAATGGCTGCATCTACTGTTTTGTTGATATGAAATCGAGTCTCATTACCTAGGCACCAGATCTGGGACAAAAGTTGATGTGTTAAAAAATATGAAATTCTTCATACTCATAAACAATTGCGCTAAAAATGACATATCAAGGTATTGCACGACAATCACTTATTTTGGACTTCTTAATAATGTTACTGTCCAGGAGTAGCTGGAATTGGGATAATTTAGCTCAGCAAGCTATCCCAGATTAGCATAGGACCAAGCCAGCTGCAAAGATTGCAAATACCTCTCTGGATTCTGGCTCTCCATGGAGTGCAAATTCTGTGGTGACACTTCTTAGAAGCACAGACCAGAATCATCCAAGTGAAAAAGAGCCGTTACACGTTAATTGAAATCTTGTTCAGTAATATGATTACCACCAAACATTTCCTAAAAGAACCCCACATTTTTTTCATTCTTAATTTCACACTGAATAGCAAAAGGACACCAAATAATACAAGCACAGGTTGTATTACACTTCTTAAAGTACTAAAGAAGAAACAATTTTCAAAATTCTTTTCAATTTCCTTTCACTGCACAACAGGGATATGTGAAATTTCTGAAATGGGATAAGTACAAACTCAATTTTTACTGCTGCTTTTGTGATTACTTACATAGTTCAGGAATCCAGAGATCAGTTCCTGACTCAATTACTCTCTAATTAAACAGAAAAAACACTCTGTAATCTCAATTGGCATTTTGCGATGAGAACGGTCTATGATTTCAGAGTGTTATGTCTCTCTCTTGCATTTTTCCATAGGCTTTTCCCAAGAAGTTTCAAAACTAAGACCTTTAGGGATTCTTCTTCAGTTAATGGTACCTGCATATACTGCTTCTGTATTATTAAAGAAAGCATTTACTACCACTCAAGAAAATCAATGCATAAAGATATCACATGTACACTACATAATTATAATAGCAGAAGAAAGCACTATTGGTGGAACCACTGTCAGCAACCAACTGATGTGTCTAAGCAACAGCAATGTTCTCTTTACCCTTATTTTTGACCCTGCTCAGTGTTTTATCACACCTTATCTTTTTTCTGTGAAACACTAGGGAAGATTTGGAGGGCAAAAGAAACCCTTGTTTTCTAAGCTCAAGTAGATCTTATTTGCAGGCCAGAATGCATTAGGGTGAGAAACTATTGCATTCATTCTTTCACTCCTTGTCTGTCCTGGTCTTAGGTTACAGCAGCTATGAGATGCCCCCAATTAAAGGCATTTAATTCATAACTGAATTTGCAGGTACTCTGATGCTTGAAGTGGAATCAACAGATCTACATTCAATTTGTTAGAAAATGTACTGTGAAACCTCAGCAGCCATTTTATACTCAAGAAAGTATTAGACTCTTTGCACTATATTCACTGTAGCCAGCTCACTAATCAGACAGCCACCTAATCTAACACAGAAGGGATGTAATAGGTAGTGATTCCAGCTGGTTTTATAAACAGCCTAGAGGTCTGAGCACTCACCTGGAACACGGCTTTTATTAACCATCAGCCCACTTTGTTTCATATCTACATATTTTGTGGTTTACGAATGTGCTTTTCTTATTTGCCTATAAGACCTTGATGGTTAATATTGACTTATATTGGGGTCAGTATCAAGATTAATTAAGCCAAAAGATAATTATTAACTGATATGAAAATGAGATCAATAAAATACTGGGATTAATAAATCTTGATATTGACTAAAAGCAAAACAAAAGAAGCGCTATGCTAAACATAAATACTGTGAGCATTTACTGCATCCCTCTGACCAAGCAATAAGCTGGAAGAGGTCGAACCATTAGTTGATTTAAAAGTCAAGCACTTTCTCCCTTCTTGATGCTGTGTTCCCTCAAGGTACAACAGGGGGAAAAAAATACTTATTTTTGTGTGAAATAAGCTGCATTCACCACTTCCACCCTTTGTGGGACTGTCAAGAAAACTGCCCTCTATTTCAATTAAAAATTTCACACTAGGTATAGAAGCCAGCCACAGCAAAGTTATTTAACAGTTTGTTCCATGGTCACAAGCCTGTGACAATGCTGAACCTTGCCCAATCATTTTCTCCGTAGTCCTCCACCCCAATAACATACTGTACTTCTTCCATGTTGTGAAAATATACTTGTGCAAAAGTGAGCTTAGAGGGGAATTACAGACTACAACAATATTTAAGATGATATATAAGGAGTGGATACTTCGAGCCATCATAGCCACAAAGAAGGAGAAAATACAACCAATGCAGGCAACTCTCACATAACAAACTCTGGATATAGTAGTGGTGTTCAACCTGTTCCTCAGAGCAAACAAGCTAGCACTTGTGAATCTTGTTTCACAAGTGATCTTGATTCACAAGTTGTGAATCTTGGCAGAGATAGTACTGGGAAGAAGTCTTGTATTCTCCCAGAGCCACAGTCCTTGACTTTGACCTTGAAGTGTTAGGATTAGCATTTTTGCAGGGGAAAGAAGAGGCATCTTTCCTGCCAGCTTTTCTGCCAGATTAAAGGCACTCTAAGACAGGGACTTAGAGAGTGTCTTGAGAGTGCAGAAGCCCTTAACAAAAAAACCCCTTCTTCTCATTCCACAGGAGGGAAAAGGAAGAAAGAGAAGCACTGTAAACTAGCTGGCAATTACAGCTCTCTTCCAGATCTAGCTCATGGTATTTTTGCTTTTAATATAACAGTAGTACTGCCTAAAAAAAAAAATTTAAAAAAAAATCCATAAGCAGTCAGTCCCCTTTCTCCACATAATTATATGGGCAACTGTAACTGCTGTCAGAGTCTAAATCCATAAACAGCGTTATTGTTCTGTAATTCAAGCAGGCTCTTTCCGTAAACACACAACCCTCCCATTAGACATCGTTTCTACCTTATACTCCTGGATGACTCCATTTTGGTGATCTGGAGGGGGAGGATCCCAGGAGATGCTGATGCTTGTACTGTTGTGGTTTCCAACTGTCAGGACAGTAACAGACTGAGGAGGGGCACTTGGAGCTACACCAAGGAGAGGGAACAAACAGAAGCAAGACATTAATCCATTTGCTAGAGCACAAATTTTGCTGAAACAGTGTAAGAGCAAGCAGACAGCATACAAAGTTCACACTCCCTGCAGGCCTAGGTATGCACCTTTTGTTAGGCACTGACAATTTTGAAAAATGCCTTTCTGAAGAGAAGCATAGCACTGAATGGCAATGTGGAATTTGTGGCAATGGAGAATCAATACAAATCACTCTTAATTTATTTATATTTAGCATTTCTTAAGTTTGCATTGGAATTATTCTCACACTTGCATTTGTTTTCCATAATATGCATGGATAGCTATAGATATATCAACTAAGCCATAATGTGAGGCTGTTTCACGTGGCCTGAAAAGTGTTTTGATGCTTCTTTCCTCACATGGTCTAATAATAATGTGAGCACCAGACGTTTAAGGATCTTTTTTTACTTCCTATTTGTTCTCCAGGAAGACATTAACTTAACAGGTTTAAACACAAAACCTTGCAACTCCTAGGTGGAAAAGGGTTAAAGTGTTCAGGGCTTTACATCAAATGCCAGTGAACAGGGGAGGTTCTAAGTTAGATCAGATATATAACTGACCCTGTGACCCTTAAGAAACGCAGCAGCTGCAGGTTGGCTAGATTAAGATACATATATATATATATATAAAAAAGTATATATATATATATATACTTATGTACTCTTTTCCCTAGGCAAATTGCTTTCCCTTCAGAGTCCTGTTCAGTCCAACCATCCACAGCTGTTTGGCTGGTCACTGCATATCAAGGCCGTACCTACAAGACAATTGCTTGCCAGCCCTGCTACGTTGGCTAGAAGTGTGGGGAAAAAAAAGAAAATCATAGCTGTTAGTGATCAGAGCTATGTTGGCAAAGCCCCTCTTGCAGCTACACCGGCAGCAGGGTGCTTTTGTTGCTCAGGACATGTTGTTTGGGAAGTGGTGCAGCAGCTCTGCTATGGAGAAGTCCCCTCTGTGAGCATCTGCTGCATCTCCACGCGGGGGCTCTCCCACCATAGCTATAGCTGCCACGGCAGAGGACTGTGGCCTATGTCCCTCCTCAGCCAGTTAATACTTCTTGCGGCCTGCCTTCTCCCCTCCCTTACTTCTAGGCAAGCGTTGAAACTCCACCACAGTGGCAAGCTAGGTCACCAAAGTCGAGTGTATTATATTAAGGTATACTCCCCGGGGAAAAAAATTATTGATAGCAGCTGCACTGAACTGGTCCTGGGATCCATCTAGTCCATTTACTCCAGTCTGTCTATCCAGTCTTCAACAAAACTAATAGCAAGAGGCTAGGAAAAGTGTGAACTAATAAAGTGAGAACATAGTGATACCTCTCCAGGACAATTTTCCAATTCACAGAAGCCTGTTGCTTAGACACTTTCTGTTCCAGGGCGGTGTCTTTGCGCTTAATAACTCCTTACGGAATTTTTCTTCCACTTTCCAATCTTAAAACATTTAATACGAAATATGGAAGCTTATTTTGAAGACTTACAGTAGACCTTGTACCAGAACCTAAAATATTTATCACTCCCTCCTGCCCCAGTTTCAAATCTAGATAGCCCTCTGGTTTTGGGCATCTCACATCGTGTGTCACAGCTCCCTGACGCCAGTCCCCGGGTCTAGAGAATTCCTATCCAGAGAGGACTCCCCTTCACTGCTAAGCTCTATGGCAACATAGGACTCTAGTCTTATCTTTAACAGATATTCCTGACTGCACGAACATCCTTGGACCACGCTTCTCAGAAAAGCAAAGAGCCACTAGCTTCTTTGTATTAAAGTCTGGCAGGTTTAACACAACTAAACACAGCCACAGATATCAGGAGTATTCAAGTTTCCTGAGTCAATTCAGATTTCCTTATTGTTCCCCATGGCCTCTTTGAGACTGGCTATGTTCCCACTTCGGATGCTTCTCAGCACTCGACCTGGCACAGGCTCAAGGACCTGAGCTCAAATCCTTTCCCTGATAACCCTGAAGAGTTGGAGTAGCCTGTTGCAGGAATCACACAACTTAAAACTAGGGTATCAGAGGTAGGGAGAAGGGACCATACAAGATTACATCAGAAAAAAAAAATTTTAGAGGAAAAAAGACACATGTATTACTGTCCTATGAGGCTGCACTTTTTGACAACTACATTTTCAGATGCTGGTTCAGCTGCAAAGCAAATAGTGCTTGGTAGAGTCCTTGTGACCTTGAATGACGCAGAGAAACGGTGTACTGGAGGGGAGAAATGAAGCTGTATTGTGGACAATTTGACTCTTAGCTAGCTCAAGTGAAGCACGGAAAGGTGGCCTTGGGCTAATCCTTGCAATCGTGCAAAGCATAAAATTGGTGAAGTTAATAGTTGCATTGCGTATTTTATGGCAAGCGAAATAATTTGCCACACAGTAAAAAAATTAGCATTTTAAAAGACTTCAAGTTATTCAATAACAACAAAACCATGAATAAATGTGTGTGCGATATTAAATAGAACAATATTTTACATGAAAATAATAATCATAAAAATGGAAAAGCTTAACATTGTATAACATTTTTGTTTTTCAGTACAATGGAACAACTTGCTGAAATGTATTTACTTTCATCCTCAAACACAAAGGGCATTCCAAAATATAATTTCTTATATACACCTACCTGGAAACACAGAGAGGGAGAGCGAGAGAGGAGAGTAAATGCTAAAGAAATGTGAAATGAATGCTGTACTCTAACATTTAAAGAAAACCATACTGTATTCATTTGTCTTTGCATTTAAACTGCATGAATATTCTAGTTAATATTCTACCAGTGTGTCTTTTTTTTTTTTTTGAGGTTATATGGTAAGTTTGAAGCAAAATTAAAATTGCAGCTGATGAATGCAGCTGAAAATATCATTTTAAGAGCACTAAGGCAAGAAGGAATTGACAGACAGCAGCTGATAAAAACTAAGGAGACTTCCATTACCGACTGTCATATTTTTGTGGTGACAAACAATACGCAGAACAAATACTACTCCACAAAGTTATTCCAAAAGAGATTTAAAACAGTGGATGTAATTGGGAAAAAAAAAAAAATCTAACTTTAGAGCAAGTGTGAAAGAAATAGTGAAAATTATAAAATATTTTATTTAGCTCCTTTTCCTATGTGTATACACATATATGTATATAACAGTTCTGCTTCCTCTCTCTGATAATATCACTCTGTAAGCTGGCACCATGATATAAATTAAGCCACTTGCCTGACACTGCTGCAGTTATTAAATAGACCGCATTGAAAAATAACAGTTTTAAAACTGTTTTCTCATTTCCCTTGCTGCTGGCTTGTGGAGAACACCTTGCCTGCCTCTTGACAGGTCAATTATTCCAGTGCTCAGCTTCTTCTTACAGATATGAAAGAACCCAAATCGCTGCTCATCTTTTCCAGATGCAGCCAAACAGATTGCCATTTGTTACCTTCACAAGGCCAAAGAGGCAGGAGATGGATGGATACTGAACTGTGACAAATGTCTGATCTAGAGGAAAAGTCTAACTGCAACAAAATTGATTTTTGGAGGTAGGCCTCAGAAGTAACATTGCATGTAAAATTCAGTCCAGCAGAAAGCTGCCACTACCTTTTGGTCGTACTTTGCCTTTACCAGGGCTATTTGTTTTGATGTCGCAAAAAACTTCCAATGTGCGTATCACTCTTCCAAATTATTTTCTAAAAATAGCATAGCGGACATTTTTTAAAAGTCAAGTCTAAAAAAGCTCATTTTCGAAATGGAATCACAGGCGACACAGCAAGTGGGATACCTTTAAACAGACTGCCATCTTTCTTCATTGGATGAGAAGCAAACCACTGTCGTTAAACATTTAGCTCATGTTATTTTTGAAATATATGAATACCAATATAATTACAAAGATAATGTGAGGAATTAAAGGAAATATCTGTAGAACTGCATCTACTGAATGTCTTGATTTTCTCATGGAAGTACAAGCAAGAGGAAGAATTATTTACAGGGGCTGACATTTGTCTGGTGATAATACTACGTGTTATAGGCTGATTTTTTTTGAGAGAGATACTTGTAAACAGACACCTTGAAGGTTATATTAATCTACAAAGCGGATCCTAGGCTGTGAGTTATACATATCTGTAGGCAAGAAAAGTTTTTTAAATCTTCACTACGTGGAAAGTTATTCCACATGAACAAAGTGGCCTTTAAAGTAGGAAATCACCTGACAGGCTCTGCTAGGAGCTGAGGTTTATAAAAGAAAATGTCATTCCTCAACTGTTTTATAGAAATAGACAGGTTTTTCTGTAGAAATCTACAGAAAAAGATAAAAATCTTTTCTCTTTTTCAGTAGTTCTTAATTTACCTTTAACAAGAGATAGTTAGATGAACTAAATAAACAACAAAAATCAATTGAAATTGGACAGGAAGAAAATCTGCTAGTGAGGGGACAAAATCCTCCGTTTTAACTCTAGAAAAGCAATTTCACCTGTAGAAAGCTTTTTTCAATTTTCTTTTTTTTTTTAAAGCTCTGTTCAGACTGCTGCAAAGATATTCTTTACCAGCTGATTTAGGCTTTATAGCCTGAACAAAGAAATGGGAACCATAAACTCCCAAATTCCAAATCAGACTTGAACAATGCCTTCCTACACGCTCTTCTACGTGTTGACACTGAATTTCCTCATCTATAAAGTATGAACGGCAACCAAGTTATCTTCAGGATTACTTACTTGTTGGGCAATAATCATAAAATATCAAAGAGAAAAGTGAGTAATGAGTGACTCCATTCTAGAATTAAAAAGTACTTGGCAATCAGCACTAAATTAAACCTCAGGAGACTACTGTAAGTGATTAAGATGCATCTGCAATAGGA